CGCCCCTAGGCTTGATTTTCCAATCTGCCTTTCCCAAGTCTAGGGCCTTAGACATCGCCATGGCTTAAAGCAGTGGTTCTCAACCTGTGGGTTGTAACCCCTTTGAGGGGGCTGTTGAACAACCATTTTGCGGGGGTCCCATATCAGATATCCTGCATCCTGGATATTTACATTATGATCCATAACAATAGCAAAACTAAAGTTCTGAAGTAGCAATTATACAAATTTGTGGTTGGTTACCCCAACATGAGGAATTGTATTAAAGGGTTGCAGCATTAGGAAGGTTGAAAACCAGAACCTTAAAGGAATGATCTGTGAGATCCAAATAAGAAGACTTCCCCAGCAAACGGTCGAGGCAAGTTAAGGCATGCAGCCTCGGCATTATGCTTGGTTTACCACTGTCACGGTCAGCCATAACTACAATTTCATTTCTCATGAGATTGTTTGTAATCTCTAGTCATGCATTCAGTGCATAACCCCATGATGGTAATTATAGATTTTAATTCATTTGTCTGTGCTTCCCACCAGACTATGAATTCCCCAAAGACTCTGGCTGAATAAATGTCTTTTTCCAAAGTAATTTAATTCATGCTTCCAAGAATATTTCCTACTTATTCATTTATATATTGTAATCTAAGGGGAGGCCTTCTTGGGACTTTGGCTGGAAAAATAACATTATTTGGAAACTTCTTTTAAGGTGAAAAAAATTCCTTGGACACAGGAGGGTTGTATTTTCTATAAACTCATGCTGGCCCCTGAGACAGCAGCTGGGGAAGTTGCTTTATGAAGGGCTTGCCCTGTTCAAAAAGGGTTATTTAAAAAGCCAAGAGAAACAAGAAATATCTGAACCTTGCCAGTGTGGCCAAAAGATTTTTTTTTCAGATCCTTGCTGCAAAGCTTGCAGCCTTAGCAAAGAAACTTCTGCCACAGGCCATCAAATTCTCAGAAGTGGGAAAATCAGGTTGAATGGAGTTGAGACGACATGGGTCCCCAGAGAGGCTCAGTGAACGCTTCTCTTCTGTCCATCAGGGCTCATTTCTGAGAGGAGAGGGCAGGGAAGAGGTTTTTTCTGTGAAAGCACATTATGAAAGGCAGAGCTGCTTCAGGAGACTGGCCGCAGATCTTGAGGTATCTAGATAGCCTGTGAAATGCAGACCAGAGTGCAGGAGTGTGAGGATCCGGAGCAGGCGAAGGACAGAGTGAGGTTTCCGAACTCCCACCAAAGCGTGACTGAATGAGCCCCCCTGACCTGCCTGTCTCCATGTCTGCACAACATTCTGGCTTGGGTCTAAATGTGTCTGGATGACTGTTTCTAGGGGTTTCACTGCCCTCCTGCTTCTGCCGCTCTCGGCGTGACTTCGGTGGCCATGGTGAAGTTGCAGCCAAGCCTCCCATGTTTGAATGTGCAAACCGCTCTGTGTATACACGACCGCACTCTCCATAAGCCTTGTCCTGGGTAAGCTTGCAGAGGAACTGGCCCCTCGCTTCATTTGTCCCCGCCCCTGCCTCCAAGCTTCCTTTAGCTCTCTTGGTTGTTGTCTGGTGCTGTGACCGCTCTCTTCAGCCCATCCCCAGTCACCTTAGCTTTCATCACTATTCTTCTTTTCCCTCTGAGTTCTGTCATCATTTCTGCTAGTTGGAACATACGCACAGACAAGTCTGAGGATATCCCGGCTTCATAGCACCTCCCCCACCTGGGGCGCTATCCTCCCTCCAGCACCCACACATCACTGTGGGCATCGCGCAGTCAGTGCCCCATTGGGAGAAGTGTCGCTTTCCTTCCCAGTTACAATACCCTTCACTCGGGTGACTGTCATGGTTCAACTTTGCTGTCATCTTGCCTGGACTTGGAATCGCCTAGGAGACACACCTTGAAGTGGGAAGGATAACTCACCATGAATGTAGATGGCATTGTCCCATGGAGCGGGGTCCAGACTGAATAAAAAGAAAAAAGGAGAAAGCAGGCTGGGAATATGAACAGTCAGGTTGGGGGATGAGAAAGAGAGTACTGGAAGGGACTACTGGAAAGGGGGGCATTTCGGGGTCAGGAAAAAACCCGGTACAAGGGAATCTTCCAGGAATCTACAAGGATGACCCCAGCCAAGACTCTTAGCAATTGTGGATATGTAGCCTGAACTGGCCAACTCCTGTGACCAGATTGGCACCTAGCTCAATTGTCATCAGAGAAGCTTCATCCGGCAACTGATGGAAACAGATGCAGACCCACAGCCAAACATTAGGTGGAGTTCAGGGAATCCTGCAGAAGAGGGGGAGGAAGGATGGTAGGAGCCAGAGGGGGTCAAGGACAGCACACGAAAACTCACAGAGTTTTAACTAGCCTAAGAGACTGAACGAACAACCAGGGAGCCTGCATGGGACTGACCTAGGCCCTCTGCATATATGTTACAGTTGTGTAGCTTTGTCTTTGGTGGGACTCCCAACAGTGGGAACAGAAGCTGTCTCTCATTCTTGTACTGTATTTTGGGACCCTACTCCTCATACTGCGCTGCCTTGCCAGCATTAATACGTGGGGAGGTGCTTAGTCTTACTGCAGCTTGATGTGCCCTTCTTTCTCTTTAATACTCATGGGAGAACTGCGCTTTCTAAAACATAAAAAGAGGGTGTCTTAGTTCAGGTTTTTATTGTTGTGAATAGACACCATGACCTTGGCAACTCTTTTTTTTTTTTTGTTGTTGTTGTTGTTGTTTTTGTTTTTCGAGACAGGATTTCTCTGTAGCTTTGGTGCCTGTCCCGGAACTAGCTCTTGTAGACCAGGCTGGCCTCGAACTCCCAGAGACTCGCCTGCCTCTGCCTCCCAAGTTCTGGGATTAAAGGCATGCGCCACCACTGCCCAGCCTACCTTGGTAACTCTTATAAGGAAAACACTTAATTAAGGGGATTCGCTTACAGTTTTAGAGGTTCAGTTCATTATCATCATAGCAAGGGGCTTGGTGGCATTCAGGCAGACGTGGTGCTGGAGGAGCTAAGAGAAGAACATCTTGCAGAAGTTGACTGGCAGTCACACTGAGGGAAGCTTGAGCTGAAGAGACCTCAAAGCCCACCCCCACAGTGACACACTTCTTCCAACAAGGCCACGCCTCCTAATAGTGCCACTCCCTTTGGGAGCCAAGTTCTTTCAAACCACCACAGAGGGGGAGTGGGTGGGGGGGTGAGAACATAGGGGGTGCAGAGATGGGAAGGGGGTGAGAGGAGAGGAGGGAGGGGAAACTGCAGCTGAGATGTTAAATAAATAAATTTATTTTAAAAACTGTCAGCACCGAATGCAAGACTTATTATTTTTTCAAAACAATACAATAATATATAGTTTTAAAATTTATGCTTTGTGTTTATGTATGTATATTCACATGTATGTGTGGATGCATGCACATGTGCACACATGTGTGCATAGAGGCCACAGTCTAATGTGTGTCTGCCTGGACTCAATTCCACCTTATTTGTTGAGATAGAGTCTGCTGTTTGAACCCAGAGCTGACTAAATCAGCTAGAGTAGCCAGCCTGCCTGGGGTTAGAAACCTGTTACCACGCTCACAAAACCTTTATGTTGGTGCCGGGGGTCTGAACACTAGTCTTCTTGCTTGTGTGGCAACTATTTACCCACTAAGCTATCTTCCTAGCCCAGGGAAATATATATTTTCATCTTATTAGGTATTCTAAGTAATGTAGATCCAATGTAAATATGTGGGAGGGAGAGTGTACAAAAATCACATGCAAATACTATATGGTTTCATATAAGGGACTTCAGCGTCTGAGGATTTGGGATTCATGGGTGTGTGTGGCTGGAACCAACCCCCCTTGGATTCTAAAGGACAACTGTAATTACATTTCAAGAACATCTTCCAAAGTATGATTTTGAAAAATTAAAATAACATATTTACAAACACCCAAGCAACATGGAAAGCAAGCCTTTGTGTATATTATCTTCAAAGTCAAAAACAAGCAGAGTGGTTGCTCCCTGGTCCTTCTTTTTAGTCTAATTCGTTTCTTACCTGAGTCTGCCACTCACAGAGAGTCGCTGCAACTTCATGGGGGATGTCCTCTGTAAACGTTGCTCTCATGTTTTCAAATTCAGTAGCAAGAATGTTTGCAATTTAATTGCAAATCAAATTTTATGATTAGAAAATTTGAAATTGCTGTCTCCTTTAATTTATTCTTTACTGTAAACCATAAAGTGTGTGTGTGTGTGTGTGTGAGAGAGAGAGAGAGAGAGAGAGGTACATGTGTTGACCATGTCTTCCGTCATGTAGGTGCATATGGAAAACAGAGATTGACATTATGCTCTCTTCCTCAGTTTCCTTGCCAACTTATTTTATTGAGATGGTTTGTCCCTGAATCTGGAGCTGTTTTGGCTAGATTGGCAGACTAGTGAGCACCTAGGATCTGACTGTATCCCTTGCTAAGAGTAGAGTTGTGTTGCCATCCATCCATCTCTTAAGTGGTTGCTGGGAAACCAAACTCAGATCCTTATGCTTGTACAGTAAGTACCTTATCCACTGAGCCTCTCCCAACCCAGGCCATAATGTTTTTAATTAGTGCTGTATTGTTTGTGGGTATTAAGACATCTTGTAAGCATAGTATAAATTCTTCTCACTGGATAATAGCCTCAATTTTTAAATCTTTACAGTGTACAAGAGCATTATCCGAGAGCACACATGTGCTCCCCTGTTCATCACTGAACATTCCTTTGCATGAATTGTTTGTGTGTTTCACAAGCCGATAGACCAGTCCTTGGTGGAGGAGACGGAGCTCAGTCAAGCTCCTCCCTCTTTGTTTTAGTGCGTACCCGGCTCTAGTACTGACTTCTCTCTCTCTCTCTTTCTTTCTTTCTTTCTTTCTTTCTTTCTTTCTTTCTTTCTTTCTTTCTTCCTTCCTTCCTTCCTTCTTCCTTCCTTCCTTTCTTTTTTTCTTTTCAAAAAAAGAAATAGCAAAGGATGCCCCCCACACCTAGAGATTTCTCATCACATGATCAGAAAACGTCCATATAATTTTTTAAACATTTATTTAAACAACTCCTACCACCTCAAGACAAAAAGAAAAAAGAAACGTATGGAAGATTACAAGTTCTAATGAGAAATAAAAACAAATGTCTCAGAAAAGCTCAATCCAAACCTGCCATGACAGCCGTCTTCTGGATATAAACGGCTGTCAGACTGTGAACTCTTCAGCACACGCCAAACAGTACAGCATTTGAACCCAACCTTGAACTCAATGGCCAGCTTTTTAACAGGCAGGCTTTGAAGCATTTAAACCACCAAATGGCAAAAAATAGTAACAATGCATGTATTTCTCCCAGCCCTACCCAAGCTCTGCCCCCTTCTTATGCCCCAGCAAGAGGAGCAATGCTGGCGCATGGTCCCAAGATCCACTAAGATGGCCAGCTGTCTGCCCCGAACTCAGTTCCGAGGCCGTGAGTTGAACTCTGTACAAATATTCTTGACGATCCTGGGGATGAATTTGTAGAGGTTGTCAAACTCATCCACAAAGAAGGAGTGGTCCCTGGCAGGGTGAGTGGCAATCACCTCCAGCTCGTCCTGAGCAGCCCATGCAACACCTACTGCATATGTGATCACCCCTGCAGACACAAAGACAGGATGAAACAACATCCTGAGCAAAGGGACAGCAATGAATATTTTCCCTCTGGATTCCCCAAATCAGAAATATGCCAAAGAAAACAAACGAGAGAACCCCAGTGAAGCTCTGATTTCTAGAAATAAGCTAAGTGTGACTTTTCATTCAACAAGCAATTTGAACATCACTCTATACAACAGCAACAAAAGTCATATAGCTGTTGTCTTAAGAGCTTATAGTCTTTTGACCCTGTTTGAGCATAGGGTCTTTTGCAGACATAATGAAAAAGTAAGTGGCAATGAGGTCATGCTGGAAGAGAATGCGCTCCTAATTCAATACCACTAGGTCCTTAAAAAAAAGGAGGGAGAGATGGAGCCCGACACAGACATTGAGGGTCAATAGATGGAGGTCAGACTGAAGAACCCAAAAGACTGAGGAAGAGGTAAGGATGATGCTACCCAGAGTCTCAGAGAGCACGCTCTTCCTGACGACTTGATACTGGGTATCTCAGCTACAGAATGGAGCAAAGAGAAATGACTGCTTCACTCCAGGTTTGCGCTGGCTCCCATTTTTCTTCTCTCTATTGTCTAGGAGGCAAGGAGCCAGCTGTGGGTTTTCCAGTGTTGTCAAAGAGCAGCAAGAGCTGTTTGCTGTTTGTTGGCCTTTGACTAAAGACAGAAAGACTGTTTGTAGTCAAAACTATAGTGGCATTTCAGATCTATTTTAATAAATAAAGTTTTCATGAAGATCAGAGAATAAACAGCCCCACTGGTCAGCCTTATAGACCTTATACACACACCTTTAATCCTAATCCCAGCAGCCACACTAGTTGCCACAGAAACTGGGTGGTGCATGCCTTTAATCCCAGTAGTGCACGCCTTTAATCCCAGTGGTGCATGCCTTTAATCCCAGAATTAGAGAGGAATATAAAATGGTAGAAGACAGCTCTCCACCTCAGTCTCATTCTGAGATTCCAGGAGGCAGGATCGCCATTTTCAGACTGAGGTCAAGGTAAAAGCTAGCGGCTGGCTATTTTGCTTTTCTGACCTTCAGGCTGAGCCCCAATTTCTCTGAGTTTTTATTACTCATGCTTTAAAAAAAAAAAACTACACAATAGCAATAGAAGCTGGGCTTTCTAGACCCCAGGACTACTGTTTTGGGGAAAATTTCCACCAGCAACAGGGGCAGATGGTCACCCTGGCTGGACTTGATATTCCAGGGGACATAGTACTTATTGCATTTTCATATTGAATCTCAGAGTTGGGCACTAAGACAGGAAACCCCAAGTCATTAAAGCCCGTAACAGAGGTCTCTTAACTCCAGTTCTGGAGTATATAGCGCCATCTTCTGGTCTCCAAGGGCACTCACTGCGTGCACATGGTGTACAGACACACATGCAGACAAAAACATCCATTCATATAAAATAATACATAAATAAATTTATAAAAGTATATAGAATATTCTAGAAGGCAACTCAATTACACATAGGCACAGAACAACAAAGCCAACCGTGGTATGGAATTCTGTGCCCTTGCTTAGGTCTCTAGTGATTGCTAACCACTCAGTTTCCTTTGTTTTGTCTGTTAGTGTTTTGAGACAAGGTTTTTCTGGGCCTTGACTGGCCCAGAACTTGCAATGCAGGCTAGGCTGGCCTTGACTCATAGAGATCTGTTTGCTTCTGCCTCTGGAATGCTGGGATGCGTGAGCCACCATGTCTGGCTCTTGGTTTACCTTCATTACTTGAGGCTTCCTTCAAGCCTGCTCTAATTTCACAGCATTTCTCAGAACAAGAACTTTATGTCCATGGACTGTGCAGGGGATGTTTCCATGCAATTGATTCTTGTAAGTTTTATAAAAGATTTTGTTCATCTTCCTTTTTTTTTTGTTTGTTTTTTTGTTTTGTTTTGTTTTGTTTTTCGAGACAGGGTTTCCCTGTGGTTTTGGAGCCTGTCCCGGAACTAGCTCTTGTAGAGCAGGCTGGTCTCGAAATCACAGAGATCCGCCTGCCTCTGCCTCCCGAGTGCTGGGATTAAAGGCGTGCGCCACCACCACCCGGCTCATCTTCCATGTTTTTAAAACCTTTTTTGGCTTCTTAAGGTTTTAAATTATTTCTTTATTTTTATTAGTATGGGTATACATAGGGACACATGTGACCCAGCTCATGTATGTGCTACACCCTGAGCGTGTGGGCAAAGGAGTCAGTTCTCTCCTTCCACCTTTATGTAGGTTTGGGGGGATCGACTTTATGCCCCGGCTTACACAGTAAGTGTTTTTATCCACTGAGCCTCAGGAAATTTGGCATGGAAACCTTTTTTAAAATATTTTGAATCAAGATTTCCCCCAAAAGACCAAGATCTGGTTAACTATCATTGCCAAAACAGTATTTTGCCTCTAGGTATGGTAACATGTACTAATAATCCTAGCACATGGGAGGCTGAGATAGGAGGATTCTGTGTTTGAGGCCAGCCTGAATTTATATATCAATATCTCCCAGAAAAAAATCAAAACAAAAATGAATAGCCACCTGCAATATTGTATTTCTCTGAAAGCATCATTATTCTGTAAAATGTACAAACATGATTTGGAGTTAATAAAGTTAGAGGCTTGTAATCTTTCAGAGAACAGAATTAAATCCTGCCCCTCCCCCCTGCTACTTTATGCCCCTGTGGAAGGAGTTTTAGGCCACAGGGTATAAAAGAAAGGGTTACTATTCCATTGCCTGCAGGCTTTGGGTTTTCAAGGATACTTGAGGAACCAATAGGCTGACTCCACTCGAGTCCGCGTCCCCTTCTCAGAGATGCCTACACTGTTCTCTCCCTCACACTCTCCCCATGACCGTGAACATTAAAATAAATAAATAAATAAATGTTTGTGTACATCTGCATGTGAAATGACCATAGAGATCAAGAGAGGGTTTCAAATACCTCCAACTGGAGTTTCCTGTGGGTGTGGGCCACCATGTGGTGCTGGGAACTGAGACCGGGTCCTCTGCAAAAGCAGCAAAAGCTAACCACTGGGCCGCCTCTCCAGCTCCCTGTTCACATTTCCGTAAGCCACAGACAGAGCCAATGCATACAAAGACAGTTCCTTTCTGTGCATCAAGGGCCCTGGTCCTCTACCCCTCCAGAAACTGCTGTGCCCACGCTTATATCAGGAGCGCTCACCCTTCTGGTAGGCAGCCATGGCCGGGATCCGCACATCATCGTAGGACCTGCCGTCAGTGATAAGGATCATTATCTTCCTCTTGTTGGGTTTGGACTTTTTGAAGAGTTGTTCGAGGGCATACTGGATGGCAGCCCCTGTGCTGGTGCCCCCGCTCCAGTACCCCACACTCTTGATGGCACTGAGGATGTCGTTTTTGCTGTTATATTTGTCGAACCCAAATTCCAGCCGCTGCTCGTAGGTGTACTGCACGGCCCCAATGCGCGTGTCGGTGTCTGAAATCTCAAACTCCTTGCTGAGGTTGGCCACGAACTGCAGAACAGTGCGGAAGTTGCTCGTCCCCACGCTGCTCGAGCCATCAATGACAAAGCCGATGTCGGCAGAGTTTAAACAGGTCTTGCTGCAGGCCAGGCGGTCGGTGTCACAGATCCGCTTCACCAGGGGCTGCACGGTCTTGTGAAGGCTGAGCCAGCTCTGCACGTTGAAGGTGTAGAAGCCATTTGTCCTGCACACCGCCTGGAAGGCAGAAAGGAAAGATGTGGTCCAGGTCAGGGGTCAAGTCCTTCAGCCTGCCACCATTACTCTTCGCCACCAGGCAGGTTTTACAGTCACACTTCCTGTGTTAGACTTTACAGTACACTTTATTCCAGGTTTCTGTCTGGGTACTACTGAGGTCCCCTTTGCTGGGTCCCTACCTTAGTGGAAAACAGTGGGATGAGCAAACTCATAGGGAGATGTGCATTGTTGACTTTAGCTTCATGTTTATGCTTCTGCTGGCTCCTCAACTCATTTGTACTGGAAACCAGCCAGAAGTGGGGTATTTATGGGTACCAACCATCACAGGGGAGGACTAAAGAAAGCTTTTGTTCTGATATACAAACAGAGATGTTCCCAGGGCAGCCCTGCATCCCGAGGGAGGGGATTCACAGTTGCTAAGTGGCCGCATGGGTTGGAGTCACACGACCACTCCTACAGTGTGGGATGATGTGGGACCCCCTCATCATGAAACAAAGGGCCAGCTGTGCAGGGACATCCCTGAGACGGGAGCATCAGTTTTATCTGTCATTAAACTCCAAGCTCTGCCTGACACACAGCCCTGCCTCCAGGCAAATGCGTGCTTATTTGTCTGTGCCCAAGCTTGTTCCAGAAAAAGAAAAAAAAAATGGAAGGGGACGGCAAATAAAGCCTGAGCAAGTTGGTTAGTATGTTCTTAGAAAGGACGAGGCTTGTGTCCTGAGAGTGGTCTTCAATCCTCGAGCCTACAGACCTCTGGGGATCTGGCAGGGTCTGACGTCAGGACTACAACTGAACTGGTATTAACGACAAAATTATTTTAAGCAAGAAATAACTAAAATTTTTCCTAGAAAATATTTTCTTATTGATGTATAAAAACTGAAATGGGGTTCATGAAACTTTCCACAGCCTAGGCGCATGAATGCTGGGACGGAGCAGAGGGCTGGCTCGTGTGTGGAGAGGAGGAATCCCACGAGGCAGCCGGTGGGAAATCATGGCAGGAGACAGTGGTGGTGCTGGCTGTGGAGGGGAAAGGTTTTGGCGGGGACACGGTGTGTATATGTGGAGGTCACAGCAGGCATGGCCAGGAAGGGAGGTTGGGGCATCATTCCAAGGCACCCCAGCAGCAATGGGTAATGGCAAAAGTCTCGGAGCATGGACCCCAGACAGGCAAGATGTTTCGGAGTAAACTGGGGAAACTCAAAAGGGGAATGGACCAGTGATGCAGTATTATCTGAGGCTTGGGAGCTGGTTTCGGGCTGGAAATAGCAGAGGGTGAGAGCTGTGGTGTGGGTATCAAGGCATAATTCTGGGATGCCAAGGCCCCAGGGCAAGTGTGGGGCCACCCAAGAGAATCACAGGAACATGACCATTTTGATCTGGGAAGCGTAGACATCCTTTGTCTTCTTTATCAGATGGATTCAGTCGTACTATGAAGCTCGCGCTTTGCATGCCTGCGTGCATGCGCGCGCGGGTGTGTGAAGTCTACCAGGCTCCCTGGCGCCATGCGAGGAGCAAGGGGACATTTTAAATGAGACACTGAGGATGCTGCTCTTGCCCTCTGCTCGCAGGCTTCTGAGTACGCAGTGAGAGTAAGTGTTGGCTTTGAAAAGACAATTCCAGTTCCCCCGCGGGACGTCCCATTCCTTACTCATGGGTTTCATGCCCATTTGAAGGCTCTAGCAAACAGTTCTGAGGTCATCAGAGCTTTTCAGAGTGCAGAGGCTCCTGCCCTTGAGTGGGCCCCTAGGCAGTTTTGTACCTTGCTGGCAAAGTTGGGCTCCGTCACGTAGTGCTTCTCCCTTTCCGCAGCCCCCTCGACAGTGATGAAGAAGACATTGATCCCGGACTCTCTCGCAACACGCGACACCTCTTCCACTTTGTCTGTGGGCCAGCCGTCCACCATGACCACAGCCACGTTGGGAGCGCTGCCCCTGTTCCCATTGGCTTTGGAAAAGAAGTTCTTGGTTACAAAGGAGATGGCACGACCTGGAAGAAAAGGAAAATTCGTGCTTGGAGTGATTGTGGTAACTACAAAAACAGGAACAGTCCCAGTCTGGGGGCACAGGTCTGGCTGGCCATGGAAGGGATGTACCTCTTAGCAATGGAGAGGCTGGATTCTAGCCCTAGCTGTGACAACTACCAGTCCTGTAGGTCACTCAGTGTCTTGGGGCCTAGATTTCCAGATCAACATCTGCTTCAGCTGAGCGCCACAATCGTGTGGAATGATGGCGTCTGTGGCACGCTTTTCTCACATGCGTATTTCACCCTGGGCCAGAGCCTCGGGACATTTTCAACTAATCCAACCCACTTTTCCTGCTTTCCAGAATTTCCCTAGTTTTATCATGGAAAGCCATAGGTCCTGTGTATATGGAGACGGCCGCTCTGATTTTGAGTTAGCGTGGCTGCACATAGCATATAGCAAAACTCTCAACTTAGATCCTATGAATTGTCTGTGTGTGTGTTCCCCAAAGGGAGTCCTTGGGGAACTGAATATATAAAAGGCCACAGTTGCTAGGAGATTCCCAAACAGGTTCTCATTTCAGTAACAGTCGCCTTGTTTAGACTCTAGAGTCAACACGGTTGTACTCGGTGCTCTCCTGGGTTTGCTCAGCATCCTGGCTCCCCTAGCTTAAAGTCTTACCTGTCAATTGAAAGCTACAGGTGGTTGCATCCAAAACTGCTGGAGAAATGCCTTAGACTACCCTTTGTGAACTGGCTGCAGAGACCCCATCATAAAGGAAAAACATGACTTTTGAGAATTCGAGGCGTAAAGTGCCCAGCAGTCCCTTCCAGCATATTATTAAGCACCGATAGTCAAGTGCATGAGTTGTAAGATGCCATAAGATCTCTGACTCAATCCAGTCTTAAATATGGTGGCCTAAGTGGACCAGTGCTCGACATCCATTCTCTCCACCTTGAAATGAGAGGCTGGAATCTGAAAGCTACGTTACCCATAGTCCCTTGGGCCTGTACTTTGGGCTTCATCTTAGTTCCCCAAGTTGATTCCCTTGAAGGAGGTTTAGGAAATGAAAGGGAGGCAGAGGCTGTGACTTGGTGAAACTGTGGTATATTTGGCTTCTTGGTGCTGTGTTTGGTTGGCAGCTTTGATGGTGTTGAGGAGTGAGGGTGGAACTTGCTTGCGTGTGTGTGTGTGTGTGTGTGTGTGTGTGTGTGTGAATGGGGAGGGTAGGGCATGGCACTGGTGCTGTGAGCTGTGCATATAGCTCCCTCATCATGGCTGCATTCTGACTGCAGCGGGTTCATCAGAAGTCCTTGTTGTCAGGATTTGAGAACAGCTTTCCCGACACTGGAAGAAGCAGTGGCTCCCCTACTGTCGCTTGCTCTGCACAGCACCTTGAGAAGTCATTCTCAATGCCTGAACCACACTGTCCCTCTTCAGCCCTTCCTATGCTCCTCTAGGAACCAACTCCCATGGACCTCAGTCATCCCTGGATTCCCGGATGATGCAGAGGCAGACTAAGAACATATCATTCTCTGCAAATGTCTACCCCTGCGTTAGGACACCTCTGTGACATCATCAGGAATTGAGAGCCTCGCTAGGTTTTCTCATTGGAATTTTGCTTGTATTAGCAATAAATTGAACACAAATATGCAGTCTCCTCTGTCATGCTTATGATGCAGATAGCGTGGCTTTGCAGACAAGGATTCAGTGACTCAGCTAGTGTTATTTAGCATTGCACTGTTGTGAAGGGTTCTGCACTTGCCAAATATTAATGTTCTGGTCACTAGAGAAATATGAGAGGAAGGGAACTCATTATTCAGACTTTTTATAATTCCAAGGATGCTCTGTGGATATTAGTTCTGCTTGCTGTTTTTCTCCATGTTCCGTACATTTATGCCACCATAACTGGCATCTGACTTCCCTTGGCCTTAAATGCTTGGAAGTTTCCCTAAAGTAGAACCAGCCTTCCCCGCAGCCTTCGAGGATGGTTGGTGTAAACCAGCCCCCTTGTCCAGTCTCCTCTGGGTGAACAGGTACAGTGGGACTTCTGGGGCTGCCCCATGGAGAGCTAGGCTTGAACTTCTAGGGCCACTTGCCCCTCTGAAGGTTCAGATGCCACAGAGAACTCATCTTCAGACACAGGGCTTGCGTCTCTTGGCATAGTCACCGTTACAACTTTGATGGGAACAAGGCCCCTGAAGGGACCTCCCGAGTGGGATAGTGACAGACCTCGTGCTAACTGGTTGGTATTTATAGGCCAACTATGACATGGTCATTACAGCTGTCCTATTAGTCCCGAGGAATGTGGCCTCAAGCCACAGAGGCAAGGGCCCCTGAGGCACCGGCGTCTGACCATCCCTGCACCCGAATCCATGGTGACACTTTCGGAAAGATGCAGAGGCTGCGTGTCACTTCTTGATGGATTATTTTTTCCCTCCTCCTCCAATATAGAATATTATAAGACAACCACATAGAAGGCGCACCATGGTAACAAGGTAGAATTACCCGAATCTGGGTCACATACCTACATTAGAAAGGCCTCCTCTCTGGGTAATTTTCTCTATAGCTGTCTTCAGATCTTGAGAATTCGTGTGAGTTTTGAGGTTAAACTGGGTAGCAGGGTTGTCTCTAAAGAGAACAAGAGAGAAAAGTTAGCTAGAAAGTTATTCCCTTTGGAGGAAAGCAGAAATCATGGTTGATGCCTTCGTGTACAAATAAAATGCTTGCTGGGACAAGGCCTGAGGCTGCGTTCATGAAGTGTTCCTCGGCAGACAAGGTGATGATGACACACGGAGGCTGGGGCCCTCCACAGGGACTTGGCGGCTTGGGACAGGAATGGAAAGTTTGAGTTATATTTCTGACTGTGCCGTGTCATAGCTCTGATGTCTTTTTGTTTCTTCTCAGAGCACAGAGGAAAGTCCTCTTTAGTTTATCTCCTCAGTAATGAATTTCCTTTTCTTTTATTGATTTTCTTTGACACCATCTTACATGTATATGGGTACCTAGTGTATTCTGACCATCTGCCCTCCTCTGCCCCCTCTTATTTTCTCCCTATCCCCCTCGCTTCTACCCACATTCCCTGTCCAATCTTTACTAGTTAATCTCCCAGATTTATGACTCTTGGTTTGGTTTTGTGATCCTTAACTAGGGCCACTGTGCGACCATTGGATTGAAATGTCTATGAGCCTGGTGGGGTCATCAGGAAGTATACAACTCAAGACAATGATTTCTCCACTCACAAACATCTATCAATCTAGCTGTGTAGTCTTGAGGAATCAATTAACTTTTGGGTCAGGGGTTCAGCTTCCTCAGAGGTAGAAGCATCATCATAGCATACCATACGCAACCCCATAACACAACAATCACATTGCTACTGTAGTCCAGTGGGGTTCCACCATAGGGAGGTAGCAGTGAGCTCTCAGTGTCTCTGGATTGCCCAGATCCTCTGCAATAAGCATGCCAGACCTTAGACCCTCCGTGGGTGACCAGAGACCTGCTAGCCATGCCCTGGGTGCCCCCCAATGCTGAAACCAATTAGGAATGATGATGCTAGGAAGACCATTGTATCTGTCTCTTCTTGTGACTCCTACGAGTAAGGTGACACGACTGAAATCTCATCAGAAGGTTAATGCAATCTCAAGACAGCTGGAGCCGGAAGGAGCAAGGAGATGGAATTGGGACCTTTCTCTAGAGACTAACACTCAGGTGTGGAAGGGCGATGCGAACAGGCTTGAAACTGTTAATCAGGGGGTGTGGAGGAGTGCCAGAAGGGTGAGTTTTCTTCCAGGTGTGTGCACACCCTCAGTCACAATGCAGCAAGGATGTGAGATGAAATCAGATCTGTTGCGACACTGACACTCAACCACAGGCAGGGCAGAGCCCCAGGGCAGCATCTCCTGTGCAGCCACACAAGGCTGCATGCTTTGACGGAGACTTCGCTTGGCTCAAGGATGCTGTCGTCTTGAAACTCTTAGTTTTTGAACAGGGGAGCCCCTACTTACAGAACTGGTGCGGGCTGTGGGACCAAGTCTTAAAGAGGTGGGGAATCTTTTAAAAAGACTTTCCATGGGGTCTAGAGAGATGGCTCAGCGGTTAAGAGCACTGCCTACTCTTCCAGAGGTCCTGAGTTCAATCCCCAGCAACCACAAACTGGCTCACAGCCATCTGTAATGAGATCTGGTGCCCTCATCTGGCCTGCAAGCATACTTGTAGGCAGAACACTGTATGCATAATAAACAAACAAACAAAAAGCCTTTCCACAAACAACAAAAGCCCAGCACTGAGCAGCTGCTTGGGTAAAGTGCGTGGAAGTGCGTTCTCAGCTTGTCCTTGAAACCCCAGTGTGGCCCACAGGGAATAAGCCATTAGGACTTCAGACTGGTAGAGGCATCCTCTCCTTTCTTCCTACCCCTTTACCTTCCCTATTCCCAGCCTTCCTCCATGGCTCAGGCTAATCTCAGCTGTGCCCAGAAAGTGTGCTTATCTAAGTGGCTGGTGATAGCAGCCTGAAGGGCCCTCTGTCTTCACAGTCGTCCAGGAAGGGCTGTTTTCGCCTCCAGCCACTGACCTCAAGCCCCGTACTTATTCACAAAACCCCCGTGTCCCCATTCCTCACGTCCCAGCAGTTCTGCTGGCCTTAACTTTATTCTTGGTTCTATTATGAAATTCTATTAGCGGTGGCAGTGCCAGCAGTAGCATCTGCCAGAGGGCTCTTTCTTCTTTTCTAACTCGGCCTTGAAGACTGTGCTGGTCAAAAATCCTCAGGGGCTCTGGATGTAGAGTAAGGAATGTGCTTAGCAGGTACAAGACCCGAGGTCCAAGCCACAGCATCAAAGTTAGCTCATGCCTGGTGAGCATGTGTCACCTCGTGCCTGGTTAGCATGTGTCAGCTAGTGCCTGGTTAGCATGTGTTAGCTCGTGCCTGGTTAGCATGTGTTAGGTCGTGCCTGGTTAGCATGTATTAGCTTATGCCTCGGTAGCATGTGTCAGCTCATGCCTGGTTAGCCTGTGTCAGCTCGTGCCTGGTTAGCATGTGTTAACTCGTGCCTGGGTAGCATGTTGGCTTGTGCCTGGTTAGCCTGTGTCAGTTCGTGCCTGGTTAGCATGTGTTAGGCTCTGGGTTCAGTCCCCAGCATCAAGAATGAATGGAGATGAATGAATGAAGAATGAATGAATGAATGAACGAATTAGTGAGTGAATCAAGCTCCTTGCTGTGATTTGGATATTGTTTTGAGTTCACATGTTGGGAGTTTAGTCCCCGGGAGCGGAAATGGTAAAAGAGCTGAGGTCACTAGAGGAGCAGCACTGGGAAGGGATGGTGGTGACAATGGTGGGAGCCTTGAGTGCCTGTGAGGCTGAACTGCTCTCTGGCATGCTGACTGGCAATGTGATGTCCCACTGGCATGTACCGTTGCAGCCTTCCAAGAGATCCAGCAGACCTGAGTTGATACTGGTGCCCTGCCCTTGAACCCCAGAACTGTGAGATCCTTTTCTCAAAGATGAGCTGTGTTATCAGAAAAATGCCAAATGCTACACCCAGTCAGACCCATCTCCTACCTGTCTCCTGGCTATTTCCATCCTTTTTGTTTTTTGGGTTATTTTTTTTGGGGGGGGGGTCTCTGTGTAACAGCCCTAGGTGTCCTGGAACTAGCTCTTGTAGACCAGGCTGGCCTTGAACTCACAGAGATCTGCCTGCCTCTGCCTCCTAAGTTCTGGGATTAAAGGAGTGCGCCACCACTGCCTGGCTCCTTTCCATCCTTTCTATTCCCAGCTTTGGCCTTTGATCATTTTACTGAATGACTAAGATTCTGTTTGGATCTGGACTGTCTTTCAAAGGTTCCCGTGTTGAGATTGACTCTCATTCATGGTATTGATGTGGGATTTCCCTCTGTACACTGTGAATATGATTGGTTAATTAATAAAGAAAACTGCCTTGGCCTGTTGATAGGGCAGAACTTAGCTAGGCAGGGAAAACTAAACTGAATGCCAGGAGAAAGAAGCTTAGGGAGAAGCTATGTAGCCCTGCCAGAGACAGACACCCAAAATTTTATCAGGTGAGCCACAGCTACATGGCGATACACAGATTAATAGAAATGGGTTAAATTAAGATGTAAGAGTTAGCTAATAAGAAGCAGAGCTAATGGGCCAAGCAGTGTATGTTTCTATACATATATATTTAAATAATATAGTTTCTGTGTGATTATTTTGGTTCTGAGCAGCTAGGACGAACAAGCAGTCCCCCCCCAACATGGTGTTAGGAGGAGGTGGTGAAAACCTGAGGTGGGAGGAGCTAGGCTACTGGGGGCATGCCTTTGAAGCAAGCGTGACACTAGAATGTCACACTAAAGTAGCTAAAAATGTGGAACGTTTTCTCATGGGTCTATGATGTGACTTAAATTTCTTGGACTTTTGGTCTTACAGCAATGCATGAGCCTGTTGTTTTTCTCCTCTGTGGTGGAGTCACACTGCTATACAGTACTATGGCAGCTCTAATTGTTGACTTGATGCAAGCTAGGACAACCTGGGAATAGAGCCTTGGTGAAGGACTGTCTAGATCATCTTGGCTATGAGCATGTCTGTTTGGGATTATTTTGGATGCTTTAATTGGTGAGGGCCTAAAAGTGGATGGCGCCATTCCCTGATTTGGAGCACTAGACCGTGTAAGAGTAGGGAAGGTTAGCTGAGTAGGAGGTGTTCATTCATCTCTCTCTCCCTGAATTCTCGCCTTGACTTCTCCTCAATATTGTGCTAAACCCACCCTCCACCTGCCGGCATTCCGTCATACATATACACATGATACACAAATGCATCTTCAGAGGCATGTAGTCCAGCCAGTCATACACTTGATAAAAGTTGCTTTTCATTTTATTTAATCTCATTTCTTTAAAAATATTGCCTCGTTAACTAGACTGTGGAATCCTGAAGAGGAGAAACTCTATTACATACATTTGTTATCTTAGTGGATTAAAAGGCTGGACCGGGGACCTCTGAAACCCTTCCCAACGGCTGAATCAATGATAATTATGATTATGGGCAAAGACATGGAATTCGTCCACTAAGGGTTTCCCAGAAAAATGTAATCAAATCACTTAGATGAAACTTACATGAATAATTTTTTCCAAAGGCACAGGGCAGACAAGTTTAGTACATGGTAAACAAAAATATGGTTACGAAATTTCATTCTGAGTGCATTATGGGAAGGGGTGTGTTGTTAACCTGCAAGCTATGGCTACTCTTAGGACAGTGCATGGGAGGTTGTGGCTGTGTTTATTCTTTTCCAGGGTGCATGGGTTGTCTGCCTGACACAGTCACCCGGTTATTCTTCAGACAGGGCTACTAGGGTTTCGATGCTGCTTTTCTGGAGTAGCTAATATGTTGGGGGCATAGCCTTCAGAGTGATGGAGTTGAAATGGCAGATTCTTCAAGACAGGTAGGTGGCCGACTTGACCCTAGCAGAGGGTAACTAAGTGATGGGAGAAACATCTTTGGAAGGAATTAACGTGGGCCTTTAGGGACTGGATCAGTTCCCACAAGAATGGGATGTTACAAGGATCCTGACACCTCCCCATAGTTCTTCGAAATTGGTCCCATTTGTACATCTGCCCTCCTGCTGCAGGAAATCCTTCATC